TGTGTGAGAAGATGAGTATACGAATGAATACAGCAGCATGAAATAAATCAGCAGCATGAGATCAGCAGCATGGATAGTCAGCAGCACATATCAACAATCAAGTGGCATTACAGTGATATAATGTTCGTAATGCCATAAAGTTATCACCATAAAGATATCAAGTGTGTTACAGAAATATAAATTAAACAAAGAAACTCCCATCCCTGTTCATTGTTTCAACAGTCACCCACGTATTGTGATGCCCTAATTAATATTGACCGCAGCTGTGTTTATTTTTTCTCTTTGCAGAGAAGTAAAGATTTAAAACAAACAAATGCATTTCATTGAGGACAACAAAGATAATGTAACATTGATATATATTTCCCGCTATGCTGTAATTATTGTTCTGGATAAAGTTTTACAAGGCAATATCCTATGCTAGGTTATATAAACGTTAGCTTGCTAACTTGAGAGGCACGTAGCTAATGACAAGCAGGTTAGAGGATTGAAGATAATTTATTGTTGTTAATTTGTTTTACAGATCAGTTAAAATAAACTTTTCATGTTCTTTTTCATCGAAATATGCTACACAGTATTGCTCCCTGCTTCATCTGTGCCGAATGTGAAAGTGAAACTTAAGTCAATGCAATGATTTGAAAGTAGTCTTCATGCGCCCTCTACTGGATACATTGAACAATTACAGCTGGGTCACAGCACTTTAGGGGAAGTGATCAAATTGGTGCATAATGGGACAATTATCTCCAATACCGAAAGGTTCCCAAACATCTATATCGACCTAAATTAACGGCTCTACCGATATATCGGACGGGCTCTAATTATAACACATGAAGTGTTTTTTTTATAGTTCTAAAAAGTGCATTTGTAAATAATGCTACTTATTCTTTGTTGATATAAACTTTGCACACATTTTGATGTTTCTGCTGCCCTAAGGGTTTCCTCTGGGTACTCCGGTTTCCTCCCACAGACCAAAAACATGCATGTTAGGCTGATTGGTAACTCTAAATTGTCCCTAGGTGTGAATGAGAGAATGAATGGTTGTTTGTCTGGTTTGTCTCTATGTGGCCCTGTGATGGACTTGCGACCCGTCCAGGGTGCACCCCACTCTTCGCACAATGATTGCTGGACATGGGCACCGGCGACCCCCATGACCCAAAATGGAAGAAGCGGGTAAAGATAATGGATGGATGGATGCTGCCCTATTTTAGTCATTAAAGAAACAGCTTCTGTCTGAAATAGAAATGTTCTTCTTTTTTAACTAAGAACACACAGTAATATACTCAAACATTTTCAGAGCACAACATAAAACAAATCTGTTTTAGAGATTATGCTTTCTGATTGTACAACAACACCCGTACATTTTAATTAAAGTAAAAAAACATAGATTAATGGAGTTGAAGCCTAATTTTGCACCGAGGTTATGAGATTGTCAGGTTTTGGGTTTTGTTTTTGGCTTTGTTCTAAATCATGTGTCAAAGTACATTACAAAGGTTGATTTTCTTCACAATTCACCTTAAGACAAACTTGGAAAGTCTGATGCATGTTCTCATGCTTACAGCATGCAGCTCTGACATGTCTCTCCTTGTTCTTCCTTCACTGCTCTCCTCTGTGTCCTCACGGCTTTCTAAAATAAAACAAGTGTCATATTCCCCCTGTTGGCTTCAGTGCGCAGCTTTTTTCTGACCCACACGAATCTGAGCTATATAAACATTACAAGGACTCCAAGTGTTTGACATATTTTTTCTATTTATGGCCTCAGTTTTAGCCCAGTTAAAACTCCTAGTGTGGGGTGGAAAATAAAGAATAGGTGGAGACATGAAAAGAGACAGAAAAATGAAACTGAGCATCGTCCTTTTGTATGTGACCTCGCAGTGTCCAACAGTATAAAGTTGCTTCTCATTTATCTCAGAGTTGTGACATTGTGTGTCCTGTTAGTAGACGTACAACAGTACTGCATTTTAGTGAATTTGAAAAACATTCTGAAAAAAAAATGCTTTTATTGAATCTAAACTTAATTTTGTAGTTAATTATCTAATTTCCATTAGATCTTCAAACATCAACCTGATTAAGTTTATAAGTTTAACCGGTTATGCTATCCAACTTGGGACAAAAAAATTGTTTGAAATCTGTTTGTTGCAAAAATTATTTAATTTCTCATGTCTCTGTTTGCCATATTTATCTCAGTCATCTTTCTCGTCTTTGTCTCAGTCCTGTTCCTGTTGCCTGGATGTGAAACACACACCCAGACAAACCTATCCTCCCTGGGAGGCAAAGTTGTAGATTGGATTATTGTGCATTTGATGCAGATGGTGTTTTTTGGAACACCACAAAAGAGCTTTTTGTCATCACGTCAGTGTTGGCACACTAAATATTTAGTTTCTTGCTAATTATGTCTCCATTATGCATCTATAATTTTTTGTGGGTCATCTATTTATTTTTGCACATTTTAGTTTAAAGCAATGCAGAATTCTCTGAATTGTTCCAACAAGAATGCTACTGTGAATTGCTCCCAGGTTCTTTTGTTCACTTCCACTGTAGTCATAGAAATGCTGACATTTTTCCTGCCTTTCTTTTTTTTTTTTTTTTTGGCACGTGTGCTGATTGAGGTAAATTATTGCTGAGACATTCCTGTGTTGATGTCAGTGCTGGTGGTAACATTGTTGCATAGATCATATGTTGTTCCATAGAAGGGTCTTGAAGGTGAGACTCAGAGCAGGCTGCAACGTCAGAACAAGCAATCAGCTGTTAAACATATGCTAGGTGTTAAGTTTGAATACTTTCTTCCCGTCTCTGTTTGTCATCTTTGTCTCAGTCCTGTTTGCACACAGGAAACATCCACCCAGGCAAACTTTCTGTATCACACACACTCAACAGCTGCATAACAGACTGACCTGTATGAGGAATGATACCTTAAATGTCAGTTATGAGAGGGTGTGCTTCACACCTGCAATAAAAAATAAAAACAGATACTTGGCATGATGAGATAAGTTGACTGGTGTGTGAGAAAAGTGAAAACTGTCATTCTTCCTATTTATTTTATTTTTTTATATCATCTGTTGAAAAAATTGTTTTTTTTATCCCTGAATCCTTTTAACCATGATACTTCTCTAAGTGTGGGTATTAAAAAGAGCACATCAGAAAAGAAGGCAACAACAATACAAAGGTTCTATCGTCAGTCTATCTACTTCCAGAATCAAAGCTCTAGTTCCTGCTATTTCGTTAAACCACAATGAGGTAGTTGAGCGTTTAGCCATTTAATTGTTGTAGGAAATATGCATGGCATGTCCTGTGTGCTGTTGATGGCGGTCCACTTGAACAAACACAATGTGATACCAACGTAGGAAATGAAAACACTCACAACTGTGGAAAATGTTAATGTCTATTCTACTGTAACATAGATATCTTTACATATACATATTCAGTTTTGTCTTTGTCTTATTTAAGTTAAAATGCCAAACATTTTACAAAAGTTTCAACATGTTCACTTTTTTTTATCATTTTTGTTCTACTGATAAAAAGCAAACTGTGTACAGCTCCATAGTTTATAATGACTATCTCTTAGTTTCAGCATCTGAAGGAATCCAGACAATTCTTTTTTGTTGATGTGAAATGTCAAAACTTCTGTTGCTACTTCCCCATTTGGAAATTGGACTCAGTTGAAGTAACACAGATTGTTCTTTTCTTGCTGAATGCTTTTGGTTATAACTTTTCTCACTGCTATTTTTAGTAGCAGTGGACTTTTTACAAACGCATTGCATCCAGGAGGGGTCTGCTCCAAGTCGGACATTAACGTTTGACTTAATTGAGCATTTTTCTTATATTCTCTATAAACTGATTGGCATATTGAATTTAACAGAATGGAAAAGAAAGTGTGAGGGAAAGTGGCCATACATTTTACATGCTTCTACACAAGTTCTTCTTCCTCACACACTCTAATTGTAACCATAAAACTAAACTTGCTTAACAATTTAGAGGCTTAACGATTTGTATGTGTTAGAATGGTGAATAATTTAGGCTGCAGTAGCTCGGTGCAGTGTAATCCTGTAATCTTTAGGCTGCAGGTTTGAGTCCAGGTTGCATCAGGAGGGGTATCCAGTGTAAAGCAAATGCCAAATCTTTTGTGCAAATTTTCTCGCTGTAGCAATCCCTGAAGAAGTTAGCAGCTGAAAGAACAACAGAACTGAGAATTATTTTCTGTTGAACATGAGAAGTATTCTAAAGAAAGCATACAAGCTCAAGATGAAAAAGAAACTGAATGTAAAGACCAGCAGCAATGTCAACCTTTTTTTTTTTCCATTGTTATGGACACTATACAGTCTATGTGGTGAGCAGACACCTAAATACTCTCACAACATGCACTCTGATCCAGTCTCCTGTTCTTCCACATGCAGAGCGTATCACTGGTTACACCACAGCCTTTATTGGATTAAATGTGTCGCTGGTCCCACAGTGAGGATTCTGACGAAGATGATGATGATAAAAGAGAGACGTCATTCCCGTGTGTGTTGACCAAAGTGTTGAGGGGAATCCCACGCTGACCTTAGCATCCACCCCAGGCCAGATTATGGGATTACTGTACATGCTAGGCGGGACGATGAGGCAGATATGCATTACTCATCAACTGGGTGAACAACCACCTTAGAGACAAAGGAGCTCATCGTGACATCCCAGTGGGAAATGGTGTCACTGGTTTAGAAACGCCACTCAGCTGTGAGTCAGGAGCATCACTCGGACAGAGGGTAATTCCTGTGGTTCTGAGCAGAGTTTGAATAAAACACTTTTTCAAAGTTGGGTGTAGAGGCATTTAAGTGTAGTTGGATTAAAAATATTGCCAGTTATTCTGTCCTGATAATCAGTGACTTTCACCTTTAAGCATTGCTTTACTCTTCAAATGCTATCATTATGATGTTGAAATTCTACAACTGTCTAAACTATTATTTAAAAAAAAAAAAAAACAGCTATATATATATATTTTAATCCTTTCTTTTTCTCTTCATATGCAGTTTCGATGTGGACAATGGCACATCATCAGGTCGAAGCCCCCTCGATCCAATGGCCAGCCCCGGCTCAGGCCTCATCCTGCAGGCCAATTTTGTCCACAGCCAACGGAGAGAGTCGTTCCTCTACCGCTCTGACAGTGACTACGACCTCTCCCCGAAGTCGATGTCCCGAAACTCCTCCATAGCCAGTGACATGTGAGTGCAACTTTGGTTCTAATTGAAACACTCATAAAATGCTCCTCTCAAAGTTTCTCTGAATGATCAATGTTTTTTAGGGCTAGGTGTAGAAATTAGGGGATCCTGTGCTTGACTAGCAGAAGGGTGTTTGGTGTCACATTGGTTACGGGGCATATCCAGCAGTATGATAACTGGTATTTGTGGCAAACTGTCATGTCTGTGATATTTTGCTATACTTGTTTCATGTTTAATTTACTGTAATTTCTGGACTATTGAGCACACCCAAATATAAGCTGCACCCACGAAATTTCAGCAATAATGATCATTTTGTACATATATAGGCTGCACTTGTGTATAAGCTGCAGGTGTCCATGTTGTAACGTGAGACATTTACACAGATTTTTTTATTTTTTTTTATTAAATATGTAATGATAACATACACATACGTACAGTAAATGTTTTTTTTCTGAACAGTGCCAGTAACACGGCTTGTTAAAAAATAAATACAGTAGCCTACCAGGAAGTCAGTGATTGCCATCTTCCTATCTTCTTTTTGCAGAGGATTTTTTTTTTTACAAACTACTCCTCTGTCAGCATCCACTGGCAGACTGGAGCAGAAGTTGCTCTTTGCATGCCGCCAGTTTTGGTAAATGATTTCTCGCCACCAGTCATCCAAGCCTCCCACCGAGTTTCGAGTGTCACTTTAATACACGATTCACACTGATATAGAGTGTCTGCAAATAATTTGTTGTGCTCCCATGGAAGGGCACAAGTTCCCCCTCCCCGTTCTCTCCTCCACTCCTCGTTTCATTGTTTCACTGTGACCTGTTTAGTAATCTCATCAGTCAGAATTTTTTAACCTTTATTTATACAGGTAGTCTCATTGAGTCACGAGGACCCACCCCCCAGGAGATGTGTATTGGGCAGCTATGTGAGTGTCAGGGTGTGATGAGGCTAAATGTTTTGGTGACTGGAAGCTCGTTAGCCCAGCAAAAAAACAAAAATCCATTAATTAGCCGCAGCATTGTATAAGTCGCGGGGTTCAAAGCGTGTGGAAGAAGTAGCAGCTTATAGTCCAGAAATTACGGTAGACAGTGAGGTATGTTTGTGTGAATTAAAGTTATCGGTTTAGACTGCAAGCTGGTTTCATCCCTTACATTTTACTTAAATACCTTAACATCAGTCTAAAGCTGCAGAAAAGTACATGGCAGATATCTTAATATCTCTCAATTCAACTCAGTGGGAATCTTCTGGGTTCAGTTATGTACATAGATCATCCTGCTGCCTTGTGCTTCAGGAAATAAAGGTATTCATTCAATTAAGATGAACATTAATATATTGCAGAAACATTATTTCTATTACTTACTAATTGTTTTTCATTTTAAAACCAAAATATATATATTTTTGCTTGCATCAAATGTCTAATTTCAGTGTAAATAAATCATCAGTGCAAGATTGTTTTAGATTTACTCACTGCCTTAATTAGAAATACTATTGGGCGGCTGTGGCTGAGTGGTTAGAGCAGTCGTCCTCCACTGCAAGAGTTGGGGGTTCGAATCCACCAGCAGTCACATGCCGAAGTGTCCATGGGCAAGACACTGAACCCCTCATCGCCTCCGATGTGTGTCCCATCAGTGTATGAATGTAATCTAAAGCTCTGATTAGTTTCTTTAGAATGATTTGTTCAAGTAGCTTTGTAGAGATCTAGTAGAGTGCTGTATGAATGGGTGAATGTGGCACAGATTGTAGTGTAAAGCGCTTTGAGTATTTTGATTAGATAGAAAGGTGCTATATAAGTACAGTCCATTTACCATTTATTAAATTTACCAACGGAAGCAGAGGTTTATCAACCTTAGAGCAGAAGTGAATGTTTTAATAAAACTCAAACAACTAAAATCAAGTACAGTAGTCCCTCGCTACTTCGCAGTTCGACTTTCGCAGACTCGCTCTTTTGCGTTTTTTCAAAGTAAGATTGGACATGACACACAATGTCTGATGGATGGATGAGTCACACAATCAGCATGGATTTTTTTATTAAAAAATAAATTATTGTCCCTCCTGCAGCATGCGGATCTCCGCTCTGCATCAGAGAAGTGGGCGTGGCCGAGAGCGCTGGCAGGTGGCAGAGAGTAGCCGGTGGCATAGAGAGTGGAGGTCATGACATGCTGTGCTCTTTTCGAGTGTTTAGAGTTTAGAAACATTGTTTAGAATATTGCAAGAGAGTGTGAAGTGTTTAAAATGCCTTAATACAGTATATACATATATATAAATACTAACATAAACTACTACTATTCCTACTTTGCAGTTTTTCACTTATCGCGGGTCGGCTGAGAACGTAAACCCCCCCGTGATAAATGAGGGACTACTGTAACAACTTCTAGTCTAATTAGCATTTTCTACAAAATGGCACAAGTTTACAGTACCCTCTCTCTTTCACCAGATTTCTGTCAATAAAGTGTTTCAGGTTACTTAACAGATGTATCTGTACAATTAAAATTGAACTAAAACGGGTGAATTTTCTTTACAAACAAGATTGTACATCTTTTTCATTACTCACCTATGTGCGCCGCATAACAGGACAAACACTTGTTCTCTAAACTCTCAATAAGAAAAGCAGCTGTGTGTTCAATCATACTTAGGAGAAGAACTCTGATTCGTTGTTAAAACTGTTATTGTTAAATGACTGGTTTATTCCAAGTATACATGTGGTAATTTACTGCTTGATGATTGCAACAGTGAAACCAATAAATCTTAGTTTACATTTGCTCTCTCAAAGTATAAATCCCACAAAGTAAGCTGGACTTGTGTGCCACCTGTTTGATTTGCAGCATTAACAGAAAACCTCTGTCTTTATGCTGCTGTGAAGTAAAAAGAGCAACAGACTGTTCTTTTTAGTAGCTTTGTGTACGTCTTGTGGTTTTTCTTGTGGTCAAGCTGAAAATCTGTCAGTTTTGGTCACTGAAAGAATAGACCATAGCATGTCCTTTGACTTGCGTGTCAGGTCACGTGATCAAAAGGTCTGTGAATGACTTGTAGCTTTGGTCTTTTACAAGTCAGCAACAAGAGAGGTGTTGTGACACTAACACATGGCTGCCACCCGCACTTGGTGACAGTGTGTTTGCATACCTTGGAGGTCATCACTTCTGACTGACAGTTTACTGCTTACGTTTCTTTAATCTGCGCTGACTGAGTAATACCTTTTGAGTGGTTGACGATATCCAATGAGGAATCTCTAAGCAAAACTTTTCCGCTCCACCTTGATCAGCTGTTTATGGTATGCAAGACTGTTACTACTAAACCTTGGCCTGTTCATGTTCCTTTGACCAGTAACTGTCAGTGTAGTATGAAACAGAAAGCACCTAAGCATTAAAGAGAAAGGGAGGGAGAGAATGTGGGAGAAAAGGAAAGAAATGGAGAAGGGGTGACTGTGTGAGAGATGTTGATGCAGGTGCAAAGACAGTGCGCATGTCGGACTGCTGCCTTGCTGTGACGGTTTTCCTTGATGCTGAAAGTGTCACGCACTAAACTATGTAGCATGCAGAAAAACATGCCCCGATGTAAATCTTCCATTGCTGGATCCTGAAACCACTGTGACACTATTGCTGCAGAGATCTCCTGTTTAATGGAAAAAACGTGTAGCTAAAAAGGAGCACATCAGAGAGGCTTAAATTTATCTGATGACCCTCACTCCACCCTCTCCCTACCTCTCCACTGAACTTCATTGTGCAGGAGATCACACCTCCCATGCCAAACATGATGTGTTGTATTATATTTTCTCTGCTCTTGTTTCTTCCAGTCATGGAGACGATATGATTGTAACGCCATTTGCACAGGTAAGCTATCGTTAATTAGTCATAAAGTTCAATATTATGAGTAAGTGGTGACTGATGCTTGAGTAAATCCGTACCATTTATGTCTCTCTTTAGGTTCTTGCAAGCTTGAGAACTGTCCGAAACAACTTTGGTGCATTAACTAACTTACAACAAGACAGAACAACCAATAAGTAAGTTACCAAAGATGGCAGACGTATGTTTATTTTTCTTGAAACTGAAATGAATGGAGCAGTGAGCAAAGTTCTGTATGATCCAGCAGCTAATTCTTAGACTGTATCAAAGTGAATACCTCTCCTCTCACCTACTCCTAACCAAATATGTAGCTGATGTAGTAGATGTAGCAATGATAAAAGCTGCTCGAAATATTAAATCATTTTTATAGAATCTATGGTTCTTTTGCTTACCCTGGGATGATGCACAAATGCTGTAGTGCAACAAGGCCAATTCCACAGAAAATAATTATGAATGATGTGATTAAAGTGCACATTATTTTCATTTTATTATGAAATAGTGAAATTATAGCTGTGAATAAAATTCACTGTTTCTTACAGTTAATTCTCTTAAGTTCTTCTGCATGCAACCATATTGTGGCAGCAATGTTAGCATACTTCTACACTACATATTGACTGCTAAAGAACAGTGTTTTGAAGACATTCCCATCTCGAAGCAGCTTTCTCCTCCTGCCCTCTGCTGCTTCAACTCAATACTACAACTTGTGTAGCCCCTCCCTGCCACAAGGTTTTGGAAAAAAAGCAATAAGATACAATGCTGCTTCAATGTTCAGCTGAGTGTGTGGGCTTGGAGGGAGATGTCTGAATGGACCTTTTGTTTTATTTTCATGACAGGAGATCACCCATGTGTAACCCACCACCCATCACCAAGACCACCTTCACAGGTACTACAGTATAAGTAAACTAGAAGTACCTTGATATTTTGTGCATGTCAGTTTGTGATTTTATGTGCGTGAATTAGTATTTCTTGACTTTGAAATAAAAATGTTGGGTTGTTAGCATCACAGCTATTTCAGTTTATAGTGCAATAAAGGTATTTATAAGAATTAGTGTCTATTCAACCAAAACTTTGCGTGGTCCATTCACATGTGTAGCTTGGTGTAGAAATGTTAAGGTACTGTTGAACTTGTTTACATCATTGTTATTGCCTATACACTTACTTTAAATCCTAATGTAAACAAGAAGTGTTTTGTTCAAACTGACATCATTCCTTGTGCTTCAGATTGATATATACAATACTGACAGCAAGGTTGAAAAGAGCAAATCTGAGGTCCTGTCTAATCCAAATATGGTTTGGAGCTAGTCAAAGGACTTGAAGACAGAATTCAACATTATTATTATTTGAGTATGCACATATGTATAATGTATTTCACCTTGAATCAATTTGTGTTTGTAGAAAAAATCCAAATGCAGGCAGGCGGAAAGGAGGTAGCTTCCGGATGCAAAGAAAACTTTATTGGCTTCAGCAGAGACTCAAAACAAAGTGCAAACATGACAAAATGCAACTCAGGGGAAAATAATCTGACAAATTTGCAAAGGAAGGAGTTCCCAAAATGATAAACAGGTGTGCTGCTTAGTAGTTATTACCAGTTGATAATAAAGTGGAACAAAGAACAGACACTATACTACTATATAGCATATTATTATTATTATATTGATTAGATCATCTTAAAATTTAAGAACCGTAACAGCAGAAATTGTGTTTAATTGTTGTTTGTTGTTATTTATTTTCACTTTGCATTTAGAGTCAGTTTTGCTTGATCAGGCACACATTTGTAATATTAACCACAAACCTGTTAATGATGCGTTTGGTTATGTACTGTATATAATGTTCTGCACAAACTTAAGTACATTCAAGGGCAACTTTTTTTCTGTGAACTTTGAACTTATCAAGTTTGTTTTTTAACTAAGGAACGTGAATTGAGTGTGGCTGATTTAAGCAGCATTAAATCATATTAGTTTCTGAAGTGAATGGCTGCTGTTTCAATACTTGCGGGAAGATTTAGTTGTCTTACCACAGAGGCAAATAGTTACACACACATCCCATTTGTCTACTCCTACTTTAGTGGGAGCATCTTTTTTCTCACTGCTTCAATCTCCTTTCACTTTAAACCTTACTGTAAAACTGACAGCTCATTCAAAAACCTTCAAAACTGAAGTTGTGCCTTCATGCCTGGTTTTCCATGCAGGAGCCAGATCTCAGACTGCAGATTTCAGGCACAGCAGAGCATTAAAAGACGAGAACAACATTTTCTTTTGTCAAAAGATGCTGCGCATTAAAAAAAAAAAGATAAAGATGGTATTAAAGCAGAGTGCAAACCTTGCAGTGCTTTGACAGTAGCCTCGCCAAAAAAAAGAGTTATGGATCCATGTTTCAAATGCAAGTTTCCTCATAAACAAACCAACAACAACAACAAAAAATGTAACTGATTTCTGTTGGAAATTTGGCCATATCAAGATACAGTATATGTAACGCCGACAATATATGAAAATCAAATAGTTGTCAAAAAATGACAAAGCAGAATGCAAAAACAACTTGATAATATAATTTCGAAAGTAATTAACACATGAGGTGACTAACTTACAGAAAACTTTTTGTTATGACAAAACTAATAAATGAACACAAACTAATATAATAATAATATAATAATATAAAACTTATTTTCATTCAAAATTGTGTAGTGTACCTTGCAAAATTGAATGAAATTTTGTTTCATTTCTCCACATCAGTGTAGATTTAACTAGATCACTTGAGGTCTGAAAATTTGAGTGAGAATCATATATATATATACCAATTCAAAAATGACATTATAAATGTCAAATCAGACATACAGTATATTTATTCCATAGATGAAAACTAGAGTATCATGAAAGACATTCCAACTAGGAATCACATTCTCACTCCACAACCTGCCTATTTATATGCAGGCTTGGTGACATTGTGCTATATTTAGAGCACAATCATACTGGTGCATTGCCGTTATGGGTCCTGCCATAAAGTGGTGACAGCTGTGAGTCATGAGCATCATTACATTGAAGCACTGAGTGATACTTTCAATGCAAAGGTCTTACTACTTCTGCAACAAGTCATTTTAAAACAATAAAACCATATAACTAATGTGTAGATGTTTATCTGGTCTAATTAAATAACTTGTTCACTCTGAACAGAGGCCTAATTAATCATAATCGTCTAAAAACATACAGGAGAGCAAACAGTTCAACAATCAAACTTCTTTTCTAAAAATAAAAAATGCTTCATTGCATAAATTAACCCAATTAGGAGTTTTTATTTTTCAAAGAAAATGTTAAACATGAAAAAACTGCCAATTTTATTTAAAATAAATTTATTTTGGTTGGGGGAGTGGTGGTATAGAGGTTAGAGAAGGTGAGCCTGTGATAAGAAGGTCGCTGACATTAATATTTTAGTGGGACAGGTGAAGTACCCACACCTGCCTCCACCATTAGTTGCCCTACACTGGTCCGTTGAGCAAGGCCCTTAACTCACACATCTGCTCTCCTGGGCACCCTTGATGGCAGCCCTCTGCTCCATACAGAGTGCTGTGGTAGCTCGGTGGCCTGTGGTTACATCAGGAAGAGCATCCAACATGAAATAATTGAATTACCAAATCTCCATGTGAGTTTGCTCGCTGTGGCGACCCCTGAAGATGGGAGCAGCTGAAAGGTATATAAGCGCATATACATATATATATATGTATATATATATATATATAGGCAAAACATTTTTGTCATCAGTATGAATTTAGTCAAAATATTAAATATTTTTACTACATACAGATTATAATTCTAATAATAATAATTCTACTTATTTACATAATATTTATTAACATTTTTCCTGCAATTACTCTTTTTATTTTCTTACTTGTCCACTTTTTTTCCTCTGCTTGTCCTACCGCTCTTCCCCCCTCCTCTCCCATCTTTTCCCGCTCACGGTCCAACTTCACCGCTGAGCTGTTCCAGTACACAGTTTGGCTGCAGCCCTGCGTCTGTGCAGCAGAGTGGCCTCTCCGAGCGCCGGTGTCTGATGTCGCACTAAGCATGAGAAGAATGTCATTGACGTCAGTGCAGTTGCTATCAGAAAGAGTAGCACCCCATCCACTGACACCACACAGGGGGAGCGAGACAGAGACAGAAAAGGAGACTGAAAGACGAGAAATAAGAGACAAAAGAAGCAGGGTTTGGGATGATCTGTAGAGAAAACAAAAAAGTCTTGGAGGCCAAAGGGACGTGATGGAAGAAGGAAGTGGAAGTTAGTCAAATATAGCGAATCAGGAGGGGGTGTGGGGTGGGCAGCAGGCAATATTGTACTAAAGAGAGACCTGCATTGACAACAAAAAACAACATTGTTTATGTTTATAAGCATGGAGTATAAGTAGATACATCCAAAACAATTCCAAAATTAGGTAGTTATGTTTTCTTTCAACCCAAAAAATGATTTAGGACGATCTCCAGTAAATACTGGAGGCGTGTGACTCCTATAAGGTCGTCAATATTAGGTCCACTGTGTTTCAGTCTGCCATTGTTTCTCTGTCTGTGTAACAGAGTTGCAACTAAAGCCACCTCCCCTTTATTTCCTATCAAATATCTTTAAAAGCTTTCCCCAGATCAATCAAAGCATCAGTGTTAATTGGCATGACAATGTGACATTTTGTGTGTTGACACAGGCTGACTTTAACAGAGACGTCTTCAGTTTCAAATGAAAAGAAAAAAGACTGTCTCATACAGACTTGTGACGCCGAGGCTCTGCCATCCTCACCATATCGTGCACCACCTCTCTGTTTTGGTGTTGTTTGTATGCTCGGCACATATTATCATGCATGCACACCCAGCAGTGTGAAGTTTCAAGCTCAGGCTTGTCTTTCCTTTTTATCCACTCCATGTTTTGACTGTCTCCCTTCACCGTCCACAGTGCAGTCCTCTCCGGCTTTAGGTACAGCTTAGGGAGAGCAGCACGTTTGGCTACAAGGGGCACAGAAGCAACAGCAGCCCACCCCCCTCATTCACTAGCATCTATAGGCTATCCTATCCGACACACAGAGAACTGTCTGGCATCCCTTTGCTTCCTGGATTCCATGGATATTTTTTCCTGGGAGGAGGGCTGAGGAAACCCTGTCATGATGTGTTATGGTTAGCTATTCGTCCGGTGTGAGTGTGGATGTATGTACATGTGTGTCTGCTTGTCCGCATGTGTGTGTAAGTGAGAGATCTCTGTGTTTTTTTGACCAAGCCAGGATGCTGTAAACAAGCCCATGCTCTGTTGGTACTGGACATGTCTCACATGGATGCCAACTGGTTCTGAGGCTCTGACTGGATCCTCTCCTCCGTTCTTGTCTCCTTTTCATCCATCCATTCATCATATGGCAGAGATGGGCCCACTAAGCAGACTGTTGTTCATCTTGCTACATGACTGGAATTACAGATGGAGTATACCATGTACAGAAGAGTGGGTGTGATGTGTGTGCTGTGTATAGGGGCTGGTGAATGAGTGTGAGGAAATACTTTTTGCTGCTGTTGCTCAGTTTGCTCTGTGGGTCATCTCTGTATCCTCTGAGGTTTACGCTTTGTTAAAAATCTGGACTTAGAGCTGGGTGTCCGTCCATCACCTACAGCCACACTCCAAGGGATTATGTCTGACTTTATCCTAAAATGGAGAATCCAGGATTTAAACTGTAGAACTGCACTGGATCCTTTTTATTTCTAAAGGAGTCAAGAAGTTTTGATCCAGCTAAACTGTGACGACTGATCAGTGGGTTGGCACACAAGACAAGAAGGCCCTGCTCCTGGGCCGACCCAGCTGGCTCACCTGTTCAGTATGAAGAGTCACCCATGTGTTTACTCGGGGTATCCCAGCTTAGCTGTTTGTGGGGTGGGAGACCCCGGTCCTGGACTGTCCACTAGCCCTCTGAAGCGAGCCCTTACTGACTCCTTACCCTCCTGTCTTGCCCCCGCAGAGGAGGCCTACCAAAAACTGGCTACAGAGACCCTGGAGGAGCTGGACTGGTGCCTGGACCAGCTGGAAACACTTCAGACAAGACACTCAGTCAGCGAGATGGCCTCTAACAAGGTAAGAAGTTCTAAAATTGTTTAAAAAAAACTTCACCTTTTAGAAAAGTCTCTCATGACAAAGATGCTGCTCGCAGGATTCACTATGTTGTTTTTATTTTGGCTCCTCAGCATGTCTGATTGGACTTTGGTTTGAGTTTGATGTGTAATCTAGTGTGGCGATGCCCTGATGTATGCTCAATAATCCAGGTAGAAAAATCTAACAAGGTTGAGTCAGGTCCTTTGGAGTATCACTCAGCCCTGTGTGAATAGCAAGCAGCCATAAGAGCACCATAGGTCCGGTCATTAGGCTGGTGGTCTTCCTTTTGCATGTGAACAGCTAGTTTTGACTGTCACCAGCAAACTGGTTGAGCCACTATGAGAAAGTACTGCTTATAAGACTGAGTTTGCTTTCAGCTCCTCAGACTGAAGAAGTCTTTTGGATAAAAGAAGGGACATTTCCACAAAGAAGAACCCATCCAGAGGACCTGAGTAAACCAGGTTAGATAGTGCATTGATAGTGCATTGATAGTTATTATACAGAACACTAAGTATATATACTAAACTTCATGTGCACTAAAGTTGCACGTTTGTCAGTGTCTTCTAGAGGGTCAGAATTACCCTGTGATTTGTGCAGCTTATCACCATTTAACTTGAGTTTACTACAGTGCAGCTCTTACTTATTCTATTGACTTCAGATGTTCAAGCTTTTACCTGTGACTGCACCGTTTTCAGTCAAACATCTGCTTCTCCAGACATCTCTCCCCACAGTTTAACTTCTCTTGTCTGTTCTGTAGTTCAGGTTTTGGGTAAAGTGGACATTAAAAGGTGTTGCAATTGAGTTTCTGTCAGGATAACGCTCATGTTCAGTACAACTTTATAAATAGAGAGCAGAGCAGAAAGGTCCGGAAGATCACAATCTTTTGATTTAACTGGTTGACTTATGAGTAGGACAGTATACTATTAACTAAACATTGCCCCCTTCTTTGTGTGGACCTCTCTGGTGATTTGTCAAGTGTTTATCTATCATGCTAAATGCTACGAGCTGTTCTTGTTACATGCGTTTATGCCTTAGCAATCTAAGCCCACGCTGAACTGCTTGTGTTGTTTTCATGTGATAGCATTGTCATGCAGGCAAGGACTTTAAGTATGAGCATGCTCAGTTGCCTTTTGTGTGTGTGTATGTGTGAGAGTGTGTGTGTGTTGCGTTGCTCTGAATGCTGATGAGCTCTGGGCTCCAGTGATGTCACACACTGATGTCACGTGAAGAGGGATGGACATAGAGGAGACACAGGGAGGACAGACAGACAAAGGACTGACAAAAACACACGTGTTCACCTCTGATGTTAACGCAGTCATATCCACCCCTTGTCCATCTGCCTCATTTAAACAAGTTTTTTTTTTTTTAAATTGAGATCAATGTAACACTCTGCATCGCCATTGCTCACCAGCAGAGCTATCACTGGTTGCCATGGTAACAACCACAGGCCCAATCACCCTGCTATCTCTCTCCAGAAACTCACATACATACACAAACAAAACAGGTAACGCTACGTCTCGGGCATCCAGCAATTACTGTGAGTCTGTCGTCTGCAGATTCGATTTTAACGGCTCTCAGCGTAACTCGTATGCCATTAATAAAGAAAAGTCTCTGATCAAGAGGAAACAATCTGTAGATTTAAGTTGTTTGCTGCAAAATCTGCGCATCTTGTTTCCTGAGTGTACTCTGTAAAGATGTTTCTATGAATTTTCACACAAAGGTTAGAGTAGCCTGTTTGCTCCTAACCCATCTCAGCGGTTTAAACAGAATACCCCATAATATTATAATAATAATAGAATGGGATATAAAATCAAATAGGGGCAGCACAGTGGCGCAACTGGTAGAGCTGCTGCCTCTCAGCGAGCAGGTCCTTGGTTCAAACCCCGGTCCAGGGGCCTTTCTAGGTGGAGTTTGCATGTTCTCTCCGTGCATGCGTGGGTTTTCTCCGGGTGCTCCGGTTTCCTCCCACAGACCAAAAACATGCATGTTAGGCTGATTGGTAACTCTAAATTGTCCCTAGGTATGAATGAGAGAGTGAATGGTTGTTTGTCTCGTTTGTCTCTATGTGGCCCTGTGATGGACTTGCGACCCATCCAGGGTGTACCCCGCCCCTCGCACAGTGATTGCTGGACATGGGCACCAGCGACCCCCGTGACCCTCCTGCTGCCCTTGGGTCTGGAGTGAGGTTTCACTTTTGAGCTAAGGACAGCAGGAGGGTCACATGTGTTTTCACTGTAGTTCTTGCACAATCACATAGTACTTTAAACACAATTATGATATAAGTTCTTTCAATTGTGAGATAAATTTGTGTCAAAGCAACTCATACACAGTTTAAGGTCTTTCTCTAGTTTCCACCGTGAGTGTAAGTCTCCCTCTGGCTGCAGGAAGAACAGCGTGTGCCGGTCAAATGTGATCAGAATTTTCAGAGGTCACTTCAAACAGGCAAAATGGCAGAATGTGTTGTTTCTACACACTCTGAAATTTTAACAGAGCCTTTTTGTTTTATTTATCCATCCATCCATTGTCTTTATACCCGCTTATTCCATTTTGGGGTAGAGGCAGGACAGCTGACTTGGGACCTGAAAGTCTCAGATTCGACCCTCGGCCATTCCCAAAACGTCAAATCTGTCCAGAGGACCTGACTCAACCTTGTTATATTTATCTACCTGGGTTATTGAGCATGCACCAGGACACTTCTTACAACAATTCATACTACCTTATGATGAAAAACGGCCAGAGTTATGTTTACTTTGGCCAAACATTGTAAATTGCATAATGCATAATCTCATTTAATGAGTGAGATTTTGCTAGATGTGTTAGACCATATGATAATATGTTGGAGATGACTACCTGCTACCATCACACCAGATATTTGCTCAGTCCTTGTCAAATTATTTGAAGGACAGCTATTTCTGTATTTGCTATTGTTGCTTAGCTGTGGCAGCCATCTTGACTCTAAAAATTAATAGTTGTAGATGTGCATGCAATGCAAGTTTTATTAAACTTTACTGAGTGGTTCATGAGATACTTATGCTAAAGGTACAGGCAATTGAACACACAGACAAGAACAAAAACTTAATTGCCCTTTTGCCATCAGTGCAGATCATAATCAACTGTTGGTAAACTTCAGTTTGTTAGATAAGCTGTTGGTGCCCATGTTTCAGTTGTTCTCTTAAGTTTATCTTTAGTTTAACTGTCCAGGGTTGTCCACATTGGATCCTCAAGGGCCACTATCCTGCATGTTTTAGAGGTTTCCCTGCTCCAACACACCTGATTCAATGATCAAATTACCTCTTCATGTTCTGCAGAAGTCTGTTAATCACCCATTGATTAAAATCAGGGGTTGAAGCAGAGAACTCCTGAAACATTCAGGATAGTGGAACTAGAGGGCCAGGATCGGTTGGAAGTCATCTTCCATCCATCCATCCATCATCTTGCACTTGTTCCGAAGTCAGGTCGCGGGGGCAGCAGCTTGAGCAGGGAGGCCCAGACATCTCTTTCCACAGCCACCTCTTCCAGCTCTTCTGGGAAGACTCCAAGGTGTTCCCAGGCCAACCGAGAGACATAGTCTCTCCAGCGTGTCCTGGATCATCCCCGTGGTCTCCTCCCAGTCGGACATGCCCGAAGCACCTCCCTAGGGAGGCGCCCAGAGGGCATCCTTACCAGATACTCAAACAACTTCAACTGGCACCTGTCAATGTGTGGAGGAGCAGCGATTCTACTTTGAGCCTCTCCCAGATAACTAAACTTCTCACCCTGTCTCTAATGGAGAGTCCAGCTACCCTGCGGAACCTCATTTCAACCACCTGTATCCGTGATCTCATTCTTTTGGTCACTACCCAGAGCTCATGACCATAGGTGAGGGTAGGAACGCAGACCGACCAGTAAAAGGAGAGCTTTGCCTTACAGCTCAGCTCCCTCTTCACCACAACGGACCGGTACGGAGTCCGCAATACTGCAGGTGCTGCACCAATTCGTCTGCCAATCTCACGCTCCATTCTTCCCTCACTCGTGAACAAAACCCCAAGAGACTTGTACTCCTCCACTTGAGGCAGAACCTCACCCTCAACCTGAAGTCATCTTAAATTTGGAAACATTCTGTTAATAGTTTGGTAACCTTTTAAAAGTCATTCTTGATCTAGTTTCCAGTAATTTTTGTTTGTGTTATCCTTGAATATATTTCTTTGTATCTAATTAAATATCTAGATGAAGAATAGCCTGAAGGTTCATTTCTCACTGGTTGCTCCATCTTCAGTGAAGACAGTCACTGCAGTTTGTCTGTATTGTGACGAGCGGGGGTGTCTGCTACCAGAATAAATACTAAATGTGAGGAGACAAAAAAACCACCAAGAAAAGATCTGGATGTGTTGAGAGTTATATACAGCAGGGAAAATATATTTTTAGTCTCTCCATACAAGAACAAATTGCACACTAAGATAGGTGTGACACTTTCCAATTTTTACCCAATAGTCAGTGTTCACACCTCCTGACTAAACTAGCACTTTGTGTGTCTGTGTGTGTCCATGTGATTGTGGCTGTGAAAGCCAGTTGTATTGGGAGTCTCTGGGAGTTATATGTCTATGTGTTTGTATGAATGCACACACACATATATATATATATATATATATATTATATGTGTGTAAGGAATGAATTGTCTGCATATGTGAATGTGTGGGTCTGCCTGTGCAGGCATGTTTGGCTATGAGTCTAATCCAAGCCACTAGTTTCTTAGAAGAGAGTCTCATCTGCCCCAGCATAGCTGTAAATTACTCACAGTAGCACGGGGTGGGATGTGGGGGTGGTTGGGTTTAGGAGTGTAAAGTAAGCAGAGACGGCTTTGGTCCCTTTTCTATCTGTGCAACCACTGGACCATTTCAGAAAGTCAACGCCTAGATGTAAACATAAACAGATAAACAGACATCTTTAAGCAAGTTTACTGGCTATAAGACTACATGGGGCTGCGGTAGCTCGGTGGTTGGTGC